TTTATTGACTGTTTCCTAGTAAGATTTGATTGCTTATTGTACTCTATGGCTATTATTAAGTGTTGTACCTTATGATTCTGACTCTTGATGAATGTATCTTTTCTTTTATGTACACTGAGAGCATTTGCACCAAGACAAATCCCTTGTGCGTCCAATCACACTTGGCCAATAAAGAATTCTATCTATCTATCTACCATTGATTCTTGTACTGCCTTCAGGTGTTTTGAAAAATAAGTTGACCCCCTCTTCTTTGTGGCAGCCCTTTAGATATTGGAACACTGTTATCATATCACCCCTAGTCCTTTTCATTAAACTAGACCAGGGATTCTGGGAGTTGAAGTCCACAAGTCTTAAAGTTGCCAAGTTTGGAGATCTCTGAACTATACAATCCAATTCCTACAACCATTCTTTGTATGTTTTATCCTCCAGTCCTCTAATCATCTTTGTTGCTCTTCTCTGTACTTTTTTTAAAGTTTCAACATCTTTTTTTATCGTGGTGATAAATCAATCTCCTTTTCTTTGTGACAACCAGTCAAGGACTGGAAGACAGTTATCATGTCTCCCCGATCCTCCTCTTTGACAAACCACATATACCTAGTTTTCTCAACTGCTCATCATACGATTTAATCTCCAGACCCCTTATCATCCTTGTTGTTCATGAAGTCACAAGAACTTCACTTCAACTGGAAAGAGACTTTATTGACCCTTGAAGTACCTCTTCTCAAACCTGTTGTTTGAGAATTTCAGCAAAATGCCAGCTAGAGAAAGAATGATTTCCTGGGCAAACATTCCTGATGCTTTGGCCAAAAGGACTCCTTTAATTAATTGCCTTGAGAACTTGCCAGATTGGAAAAAGCAGGGTGTAAAACAAACAGATAATAATAACTCAAATGGGTGGGTCAAACAGGACATGTCTCCTTAAGGGGAAATAATCTTAAAAATCAGGGGGGAATATTAAGACCAGTCTGCATGGAAACTGCGTGAACATAATGTCTGTTTGGCTTAAAGTCACACTATGTGCAGAAGCTGTGGCTGGCAGCAACTAGACCAAATAGATACTCCTTCAAAGACATAAGAAAAATTGCATATTTCATCTGCAAATCTTGCCTTTTTTTTCCCTTGAGAGGTGTGTGTGTGTTTTAGTTGGTTTAGTATAATTAAACAAAAATAAGTACAAAAATTCTTCACATAGAGAACATATGTTTCCGTAGAAAGCCCTTATCTCTAGGAAGGAAAAATATGCTATTGTGCCTCATTAAAAACACATTTAACACAAGCATTCCCAACTAAGCCAAGAAGTTCTAGACATACCCTATTCTGATTTACAAATCCAAAGCCTCAACCAAGATGAAAGGAACCGCATAAATTAATGTGAGCTGCAAGAGCATGAATTAGACAATTGTTTCAACTGGCCTTGTCTGAAAACTCACTGGTTAGTCATCTTGGTCTAATAACATTTGTTGCAATGTTGCGAGATTGTGCTGGCCTGCTTTACAGGGCTGTTGGAGAAGAGCAAAACCAAAATTCATAAGATACTACGGAATAGCAAGCAATCAGTGAACAAGATAAGAAATAAACATCTGGTGAGAGGTGCCTTATTTTGTGCCAATTTTAAAAAAGCATGGAAGAATTTCTGGTTCGTGACTTAGCAATCATAAAAAGCATTCCTAATTTTTTATGCAACACTCTTTCATTTAATTTCCACTATACCTACTAAGTCTTGCTATGTGAGTCACTGAGCATGCACAGAGCAACATGCTTTCTCACCAAGAGAAGGATGGTAGCCCAGAGCAAAATCCAGACTTCGCCTGCAAAAGTTTCCCTGTTGAATGTATGTCCTACTCAAAAAAATAGGAAACTCAATAAAAGAATCCTAGAGAGACTAAAACTTTGATCTTACAGAAGTAGCTTCTTAAATTCCTTAACAAATTCAAAGAATAATCTCTCTCTATATAAAAGCGAAACACCACTCACACATCATCATAAACTGTAAAGTCTACAAACTTGAAATTTGGCACCTATGTTCCTCTTGGCTTCTAGGTGCTCGCTAAGAAAGGATTTTTCAAAATGACCATCAGAGCATTAGTATTTCCTATATTATTATTATTAACACGCTCTGATGCTAAGGAGTTCTACTCCACCTCCCCACCTGAAAAGAAATCTGTTCCAAATGCAAAACACAAGCAGAGGAGTTTCAGTTTCAGTTTTAGTTTCACAGCAGCAACCAACTTTAGTACAGAACAGTTGAGCTAAGCCACGCCCAGGCTACTTGCTGTCTCCTTCTTGCTCACACAGCAAATACCATTTCAGTTTCGAAACAGCCCTCAACTCTCTCACACCCTGACGCAAAGATAGCCAGATGAATACCGATGGATGCTGGTAGGCAGAGGTAGAATTTCTTTCCCCTTATTTTCCTCCCCAAAAACTAAGCCTGACCACATAGTTTTGTAGCGAAGCACAGGTATCGAGTTAGTAAGGAAATAAGTCTCCTCGCTAAGAGCAAATTCATACAAATCTGAACGTGAAGGTAAGGTAAGTGGAAAGAGAAGAATACTATTCAAGATGAAATATGTCTCTTCAGGTTTCTCTAGTCTGGGGCTGTCTAAACATCTCAGCCTCCAGAATTCCCAGCCATGCTAATGAGGAATTCTGGAATGCTTGCCTTCATCAGATGGGAGAGGCTAAAGGCTGTGTTATGAGATCAACTGCTTTTAACTTTGGCAGTCACATTTTTGGACAATTAAAGATGTATACATAACCTAAGTTCAGACAGGCAGGAAAGAAGTACAGGTTAGTCCTCAAATTACAAACAATTTTTTAGTGACTGTTCACGGAACATAGAATAACAAGAGTTGGAAAGGACCTTGGAGATCTTCTAGTCCAACCCTCTGCTCAAGCATTTCTGGCAATGGTTGTCCAATCTCTTCTTGAAAGCCTTCAGCGATGGAGAACCCACAACTTCTGAAGGCAAGCTGTTCCGTTGGTTGATTGCTCTCACCATTAGGAAATTTCTTCTTTGTCCTAGCTCGCTTCTCTCCTTGGTCAACTTCTATCCACTGTTTTCCATCTTGCTTTGGAAAATAATTTGACACCCACCCCCAATCTTTGTAGGAACCCCTCAAATATTGGAACACTGCTATCATGTCTCCCCTAGTCCTTCTTTTCATTAGACTAGACATACCCAATTCCTGTAACCATTCTTCATAGGTTTTCGCCTCCAGCCCTCTAATCATTTTTGTTGCTCTTCTCTGCACTCTTTCCAGAGTCTTAACATCTTTTTTTATATTGCGGTGACCAGAACTAAATGTAGCATTCCAAATGTGGATTTACTAAGGCTTTATAAATCAGTACTAACACTTCACGTGATCTTGATTTGATCCCTGTTAATGCAGTCTGCATTAACTTTTTTGCCTGCTGCCAAACCGTCTATTCAAAGTTACAGTTCTATATCTATCCATCTAGCTATCTTCATCATTATCATCCCTTTTGTCTGTCTATCTACCTATCTACAGTACCTATCTGTCTATCTGTCTGTCTGTTTATCTATCTACAGCAAGTGTCTTCAAACTTGGAAGTTTAAGACTTGTGGACTTCAACTCCCAGAATTTCTGAGCTAAATGACTGGAGGAGGAATTCTGGGAGTTGAAGTCCACAAGTCTTAAAGCTGTCAAGTTTGAAGACCCCAATCTACAGTATCTATCTATCTATCTATCTATCTATCTATCTATCTATCTATCTATCTATCTATCTATCTAT